TTAGGGTTGGCTTAGCGTCTATTTTATATAAGTTTGTTTAGGGGTTGTTTAAGAATTAAGACAGAAGAGAATGTGTGCATATAAATACCTATAAGGACTTATCTATATGATTTTGTATTTACAAGTGTGCAGGCTTGGTTCAATTAAAAAAACGTGGAAAGGAATGACAATGCCATACAATGCCTATTCTCACACGCTGTCCTGGTAGGTTGAATATTTGAATAGTAATATCATATATATATGTGATAAAGAGTAGTGTAGTGAAACGTGTGCAACCTTGGATTCAAATAGTGACGAATAGTGAAGCGGGAGGGGTGAATTTTGATAGTTTCTACTACATGTATCTTTTATGCACTTCTGCTGAAACCTAATGTGTTTTTAAAGATTGCACATGAACTGTCATGAAAATTGCAAATAAACTACATGTAAGCTGCACAGAAACTACATGCAAACTGCGTAGAAACTACATATAAACTGCATATACACTACATATAGAAGATGTCCGGCATCAGCCGAAAAATAATGCTTGATTAAGACAAATGATCTTGAAAAAGAAGGCTGGGCAGGTTCCATGATAAACAGTTCATGTCTATCTGATTTATGTTCTGCAACCGTTTCGTGCCTGTCAGAAGTTAACTTCTGAAATTGTATGCACGCTTTTGTGCGAGGAATTGAAACCTCTTCCAACAAGTGTCCTAACTAGCCCTTTTTTTATGTCCTAAAAACCATATTTCAGGACACTTGTTGAAATTTGTGTTCCAACTATATCTATGTGATTCTTGTTTCACGACTGTTGCATGACTGTTAGAAATTTACTTGTGAGTTGATACGCATGCTTTTGTGAGAGGACTTGAAGCCTATGTCAACAAGTGTCCTAACTAGCCCTTTTTATAGTTCTGAAAACCATATTTCAGGACACTTGTTGAAATTTGTTCTCCACGTACATCTCCATGATTAATGTTTCACAACGGTTGCGTGACTGTCAAAAGGCTACTTGTGTTCTTATATGCCTTCTTTTGTGAGAGGACTTGAAACCTGTTTCAACAACTGTCCTACCTACCTCTTTTTTATGTCCTAAAACTGTATTTCAGGACAATTGTTCTTGATTTGTTTTTCACAACCGTTGCACGACTGTCAAACGTTTACTTGTGAATTTATATGCATGCTGTTGTGAAAGGAATTGAAACCTCTTTATACGCAGCGCCCTTGTGTGAAACTAATGACATGGATTAAGCGAATTAAATGAATTGAATGCGATTTCAATTTAGATCCTTTAATTAGTTAAGGTAGGTCTCCGGATTCCAGACACAGTTTTCCATTTAATTCATTTAATTTCTGCATTTCCCCGAATTCCAGAAACAGTTTTGAATCTATACTAATTAAAGTAATTAAATGAATTAGAAAGGTTTCCCATTTAGTTCATCTGATTCATTTAATTCCTAGGGTCCCCTTATTCCAAAAACAGTTTTCCATTTAATTCATGTAATTCATTGCGTTAATTAAAATTCTTTAAATGAGTTAAACATGTCTTTCAGTTTATTCCTTAAGTTCATTTTATTCATTCAACTAATTAAATGAATTAAATGAATTACATGAATTTAAAAGTTCTTCCATTTAATTCATTTAATTCATTTAATTCATTTAATTCATTTAATTCATTTAATTCATTTAATTCCTGGGGTCCCCAGATTCCAGAAACACGTTTCCATTTAATTTATTTAATTCATTTAATTCATTTAATTCATTAAACTAATGAACTGAGTTTAATGAATTAAATGAATTAAATGAAATAAATAGATTTTCCATTTAATTCATTTAATTCATTAAATGAATTAAATGAATTAAATGAATTAAATGAATTAAATAGATTTTCCATTTAATTCATTTAATTCATTTAATTCCTGGGGTCCCCAGATTCCAGAAACAGTTTTCCATTTAATTTATGTAATTCATTTAATTCATTTAATTCATTTAATTCATTTAATACCTGGGGCCACCAGATTCCAGAAACAGTTTTCCATTTAATTTATTTAATTCATTTAATTCATTTAATTAATTAAATGAATTAAATAGGTTTTCCATTTAATTCATTTAATTCATTAAACTCGTTAAATGAATTAAATGAATTAAATAGATTTTCCATTTAATTCGTTTAATTATTAAATTAATTTAAAAAAAATAAATGAATTAAATAGATTTTCCATTTGATTCATTTAATTCATTTAATTGCTGGGGTCTCCAGATTCCAGAAACAGTTTTCCATTTAATTTATTTAATTCATGTAATTCATTAAACTAATTAAATGAATTAAATGAATTCAATAGATTTTCCATTTAATTCGTTTAATTTATTAAATTAATTAAATGAATTAAATGAATTAACTAGGTTTTCCATTTAATTCATTTAATTCATTGAACTAATTCAATGAGTTAAATAGATTTTGCATTTAATTCATTTAATTCCTGGGGTCCACAGATTCCAGAAACAGTTTTCCATTTAATTTATTTAATTCAGTTAATTCATTTGATTCATTAAACTAATTCCATGAATCAAATTAATTAAATGAATTTAATAGATTTTCCATTTAATTCATTTAATTCATTAAACTAATTAAATGAATTAAATAGGTTTTCCATTTAATTCATTTAATTCATGAAACTAATTAAATGAATTAAATGAATTAAATGAATTAAATAGATTTTCCATTTAATTCATTTAATTCCTGGGGTCCCTAGATTCCAGAAACAATTTTCCATTTAATTTATTTAATTCATTTAATTCATGGAAATTCATTGAAATTCATTAAACCAATTAAATGAATTAAATGAATTAAATGAATTAAATAGATTTTCCATTTAATTTCTTTAATTCATGAAATTAATTAAATGAATTTAATGAATTAAATAGGTTTTCCATTTAATTTAATTTATTCATTAAACTAATTATATGAATTAAATGAATTAAATGAATTAAATAGATTTTCCATTCAATTCATTTAATTCATTTAATTCCTGGGGTCCCCGGATTCCAGAAACAGTTTTCCATTCAATTTATTTAATTCATTTAATTTATTTAATCCATTAAACTGAATAAATGAATTAAATGAACTAAATGAATTGAATAGGTTTTCCATTTAATTCATTAAATTAATTAAATGAATTTAATGAATTAAATGAATTAAATGGATATTCCATTTAATTCATTTAATTCATTTAATTCCTGGGGTCCCCAGATTCCAGAAACAGTTTTCCATTTAATTTATTTAATTCATTTAATTCATTTAATTCATTAAACTAATTAAATGAATTAAATCAATCAAATGAATTAAATGAATTAAATAGATTTTCCATTTAATTCATTTAATTCATTTAATTCATTTAATTCATTTAATTCCTGGGGTCCCCAGATTCCAGAAACAGTTTTCCATTTAATTTATTTAATTCATTTAATTCATTTAATTCATTAAACTAATGAAATGAATTAAATGAATTAAATGAATTAAATAGATTTTCCATTTAATTCATTTAATTCATTTAATTCCTGGGGTCCCCAGATTCCAGAAACAGTTTTCCATTTAATTTATTTAATTCATTTAATTCATTTAACTCATTAAACTAATGAACTGAATTTAATGAATTAAATGAATTAAATAAATTAAATGGAAAACTGTTTCTGGAATCTGGGGACCCCAGGAATTAAATGAATTAAATGAATTAAATGGAAAATCTATTTAATTCATTTAATTCATTTAATTAGTTTAATGAATTAAATGAATTAAATGAATTAAATAAATTAAATGGAAAACTATTTCTGGAATCTGGTGACCCCAGGAATTAAATGAATTAAATGAATTAAATGGAAAATCTATTTAATTCATTTAATTCATTTAATTCATTTAATTAGTTTAATGAATTAAATGAATTAAATGGAAAACCTATTTAATTCATTTAATTCATTTAATTCATTTAATTCATTTAATTAATTTAATTACTTAAATGAATTAAATAGAAAATCCATTTAATTCATTTAATTCATTTAATTCATTTAATTAGTTCAGTGAATTAAATGAATTAAATGGAAAATCTATTTAATTCATTAAATTCATTAAGTGCGTTCAATTAATTAAATGAATTAAATGGAAAATTCATTTAATTCATGTAATTATATATAAGGCTAACTATTTTCCATTAAATGAAAGCCAGAAAGGGAACAATCACATAGACCCTATTATTCCCTCGTACCCCCTCCCCCCCCTTCCCCCTTCCCCTCCCCCCCCACCTAGCTCTTCTTCGTTTCGTCTTGATCATTCCTTACGTTGTGGTGGGCTCAACTCTGCCCACGCCTCGCTCAACACCGGCTTGGTTTTGCACATCTTGCTGTCATTTGGATGGTTGTTTCTGTTTGTTATTTTGTGTTTGCCATCGGTCTTATATCCAACACTTGATCCACCGGCTTTTGTGCCGAACACCTTTTACACACATAACCTCTCTAAATATTGCCTTTTCCAAAGCCGTTCTCAATATGGCCTTTTCCAAAGCCCTGGTTTACACACATGCTTTGGTTTAAACTTAAACCATGGTTTGAACAAAACCAATGTTTTTGCATCCAAACCATCTTTTACACAAAGAGCTGTTTTACACAAAAACTGTAACTGTGTTATCCACAAACACCATGTTTTACACAAAAACCATGTTCTTGCTGGGCCTGTGCAAGGGCTGTTTGCAGCCTACAGGATAGCTCTTTCCATGGTGGCCGGCGGAACACGCCGAAGGCGGTTGAATAACACAAACCAGAGATTTGGATCCATTTCTAGCTTTACTGCAGCCTTAATACTGGATTGACATGTTCAACGTCATCGCGAAGCAGCATGGCTATAGTCAGATAGGGAAGGGGCTCCTTGAGAAATCATATGTGGATACTTCTAGTACTCAAATTTCAAGAAGACATCGAGGGTCAACTTTTCGCTTTTCACTGGAACTTCGACCACTCGCAGAGCGTGCCTATCTTTGACCTGCCACCGCTGGATCCAAATCTTCACGAGTTCGTCTTTGGACAGCACAGGTGTCATCTGCCGCGCTCAAGGCACTCAACGCACAGTGTGAAACAACTCTGGGGTTTTGTGGCATGTTTTGTTTGAACCGCCCTAACGCAAGCGGACACCACAGAAATCATCAGAAATCAATAGCATTGCATCCGGCGGTATGAGATTTGGGTAAGGACGAGTCCATCTGAAGCAGAGAACCTAGACTGATCAAATAAATGAGACATTTGAAGAGATCTATCACATAAAATATAGTCATCATCTGATCAGGCATCTTGGTGAGCATGTGTTCATTTGTATGTATTATCATAGCCTATCTTGTCATCATGCAATCACATGTATGTCAAATGATGCCGATCTCAATCTGTCCAGATTCCAAAAGCTCGTTGACTCTTTCATATCTTTCATATGATTTGTAGCCGAATTTCATTTCATTTCACAAAATCCTTTCTGAAATTGACAGTCCAGATCCTTGCCTTGGCCACCGCCAGCGGTGCAGTGCTGTTCCTTTGAGGTGATCCTGGCAGAGGACAGGCTGCCACCGACCCATTGACATGACCATCCAAACATCTGGAAAGTACTCCAAACTATTCCAAAATTAAATCCTCTAGATCATGAGTCATGGATACACACATATATATATAATATTGTATATTATATATATATATATATGTATTATATATATTATAATGTCAAAACAATGTCAGACTCATCTCGACCCTCAGATTGTGGAGATCCTGCCACATGTGCAAGGAGGTCACCAGCACTGAGCATACCATCGCGGTCCACGTCCAAGAAACTGAAGGCCAGTCGTACTGCATCGGGCCAGGCCTTGGCGGCAACAGCATAAGCATATGACAAAAATATGTATATGCCGTATACAAAAATAGTATTTCTAAATTCATGTAATTTAATATATATGTACTGTATATAGAGATTATACAGTAGATAGATATGGGAGATATATGTATATGTATGTAGTATGCATGATATATAGAAAGGGGCTTTGTTAGGGGCTATCGGGGTTATGTCTACGAGTCTACTGTACCCAATTTCAAAGGGTCCCAAGGGTCCCAAGGGTCCCAAGGGTCCCAAGGGTCCCAAGGGTCCCAAGGGTCCCAAGGGTCCCAAGGGTCCCAAGGGTCCCAAGGGTCCCAAGGGTCCCAAGGGTCCCAAGGGTCCCAAGGGTCCCAAAGAGCAAAATCAGGAGGGTATAAAGTATAAGATGATGAGTATAAATTCTCAATGTCGTCAATTTCATTCAATTTCCCTGAGGAAGAAAGAGGACACTTTCCCAAAATTACCAGAGAACTACCAGAGTCGTCAATCTTCAGGATCCTACGCGCCGTTCCCACTGATGTTCTGGTTTTGCCGCCGATGGGATTTGCCAAGCCACAGTTCGATCTTGCAACCATTGGAAGACTGGCGCAGTGCCTAGTTCACGCGCCAACTGCCACAAGAATCCTGCCTTAGATAAGAGGCACTACCCTGGACCTGCGCGATAGATCTGAGTGATTCAAAATTGTCCGAGGATCAAGATTCCAAGGCCATACAAGATCCTAAACCTTCTAACAGGATCTAACAGTCACTGCTGGCGGTCAAACAAAATATCATGGGATATCAATCCTCACTGAAGCTTCAAGACCAGAACTCTACTGATCTGCCAAAAAACCTCTCGCTGATCGCCGCCCTGACGCAACTGCCGCTGCTTTTCGTGTTCCATGCCTTCCAGGGCACCTGGCGTCGAGTCACGTACAATATCAAGGAAGTCTAGGACCTGGCAAACAATATAAGTTGTATAGTTACATAGTAGTTATATGTATATAGTATTATAGGATTTATATCGTATTAAACAACATTCAATAGTTATCTAATATCAAATCAATCCCTCTTTGAATGTTCTTCTGTTGGAGGAACTAGTTTGTAAAATCACCTCAGTCCCCCACCAACGTCACCAATTCAAGTATACAAGTCCTGTGAATCCGTGTCAATCAGTGTAAATCCTAAATTCCTAGATGTGCTATGACTTGTATATATATATAATCATATATATATATATAATCATATATATATAATCATATATATATATATATGGTACCCCCCCAAGACCTACATTTCAAACAAATTTAGTCGTATTTACAGCGTTTTTCTTAACTTTTTTGGACTCTAAAACTTAGGGCATTGTTGTGTGATCAAAAATTGCATGTTCTTGCAATTTTGTTCCCACCCCACCCTTCCCTAAGTACATCGGATTCAAGATTCAAGATCCCAAAAGGACTTCTTGAATCCGAAGGCCTTCAGCCTTGAATCTTGAATCTTGAATCCAGATACGTAGAATAATATTAGTCACCAGAAATTGCAATTTCTTGCAATTTATTTCGAATGATCGGCCTGTCTGCTAAGGACATTCCTCAAATAAACTTGCTTATCCTGTAAAAGAAAATTCTAAAGCCCATTATTTTGTCTTTGCTTTCCAAGCAAATCAATCAACTTTGGCAAAAATAACGAAAAACAAAAACTGCAATAAAGGCAATTAGATTCATCATAAGAAAAGTAAAATAAATTGAAAAAGAACCTTCTGCAATCTTAAACAGTATATAGTTTATTTAACAAAAAAGAAGAAAAATTAAACAGTAATAGGTAAAAATACATGAACTCATCCGATAGCAATACCTCTTTATCTACAGATCAATCCAAACCTTCCCAACAAAATATATTAGAAAGGGTTGCAGATAGATCGGCAAGGAAAACTTTCTTTAAAAAACACGGTTGAAATTTATGTTTAGAAAAAAGGTAATAGACTATAAAAACCCTGAAATGCTATCAAAGTTCACATCACAAAACGGTAGAATATTATCATATATTATCATTAAAAAATCAGTCTGAAAAAAATATTCCTGTTAAAAATAAGTTGATTAACTTGAAGCTAGATCCTCAGAATATAGAGCTGAAAGAACCAATGCAAATTTAGGATCTTTCAAAGTAAAAATACGTATTCACCCAATGCTAGAAACTCCGTTAATACCTATAAACATATCACAAAATTAAGAACTATAAAAAAAAGTAAGACGATTTAAAATATGACAAATATACTAAAAACCGATCTAGATGTTTTTTACTTATTAATTTACTATCATCAAAATCATTTTTGTTTAACAAATAATATATCTAACTCAAGCACTCCTGGATTTAAAGCAATGAAATTACAACATAATCTACATTATACCAATTTTAAACATGAATTATTACAGCAAAAAATATCAACTCTTCTACAAAAAAGATTGTAGATGCTGAAGAAAGAACTAATGAAAATAACGTAGATTCACAAGAGCAAATAAGACAAGTAACATCAAATGAGAATATGATTGATTATTATCAATTTACTATGTCATATGCAAAGCTTGATGGAATGTTATGAAATTGTAGGAGGATTTAAAAAGTAATTGCATTATAAAATCAATATGTCTAAAAAATAAAACTGGAGATCGGTCTTATACATATCTATTGTACGTTTTATATACACCTTTATTCCCTGCAAAATCTTACGTAAGTAAAAATGGAAAATCTCAAAATGCACTAACTATATCATCCAATCTTGCACAAAGCTCAGCTTTGGTAGAAGCTAAAAACCCTTCAAATTGCTACAGATAATTTAGTAAACATGAATTCCACCAGTAGTCATTATTTAAAAAAAAACTACCTTACAAAAAGTGGTATTCAGTAAAAAAAGATAAAGATAATATGCTATACTCTGTTGTACAAACAGATAACACAATTTCAATTCATCTATTCCCTAATCATATTGCTGCAAATCCTAAAGGTTATGTAAAAATACCAGATGTTGTAGAAGATATTGAAAAGGCAGACTTGCAAGAATCAGATCATAGATATAAAATTTGTGCTGATATATTAAATATGTCTGAAAACATTTTTTAAAAAAGAAAACATTGTATAAATATAATGACTCATAATGACATAAATATGTCAAATGTAGATGTTACATTGCTATGCTGCAGCTACATATGTGGGCAGGATGTGTCCAGGCGCATGCGCCCAAGATAGTTTCCTGATGCAGTGCTACAATAGGTGAGAAGATAAGAAGGAAGACAAGGCATTCAAGGACATATCTAATACACAAAATGTAGGTCTTGGGGGGGTAGTATATATATATAATTATATAATTATATAATTATATAATTATATAATTATATATACGCGTTACCCAAGAAGTCCTAAGACCTCAAAAAGTACATCCTTGCGAAAAGTGGTCCTAAAAAGGGTTGTCGCCGAGGATTCATAGCAATGCCGAGGATTCCCCGGCCGAGGATTTTATAACTTTGCCGAAACTTCTACAGCCGAGGGTTTCTAGCGTTGATAAAACTGTGCCGAAGATTCTACCGCCGGGAGTTTATATAGTAGTGCCAATAGTGCTAGATGTTTTGTTTCAACATACCACTTTGCAACCCCACTGAGGCAGCTGACATAGTTTTTTCCAAGTTCAATGCTTGTGCCGTGCTGATTTACTGTTTTCGTTTTCTGGCCTGGATATTCAACCACAAAATGTCAAGCCTGTTTTTGGATGTTTTTGTTTTGTTTTGAGGTGATGAACCAGCGGGAAAATTACAAGTGAAGGATTTTTTATTGCGAAATGTTGTCATCAAGAATGGGCTGCTCACGCTTTGCTCACGTTTTGCTCACGCTTGCTCACGCTTTGCTCACGGTTTGCTCACGCTTTGCTCACGCTTTGCTCACGCTCGCCGAGGTTCCTTTTGAGTCCTTTAGGTTCCTTTTGAGTCCTTACGAGGTTCCTTTTGGGTCCTTACGAGGGTCTGCTCACGGTTTGCTCACGGTTTGCTCACGGTTTGCTCACGGTTTGCTCACGGTTTGCTCACGGTTTGCTCGCGCTGCTCACGCTTTGCTCATGCTTTGCTCACGCTTTGGGGGATTATGTGTCTATCTTGATGAAGAAACCCATAAGCAAACCATGCCACTTTTTTGTTGTTCCGAGCCATGTGTACCTAAGGCACACAGCTTTCAGGCTGCAGACTCCTTGAGGCTGATTTTCAAATCTGAAAAAAAACACCCACATGCCACTCACAACCCTTCGCTGAAGCGGGTTTGCCACACCCCTGCCTCAGCCTGAGATATGTATGTGCAACGTTCCTTTTGAGCCTAAAGGACCCAGAAAGTATATCCTATATTATGGTATTATGACATGTTCCTTTGTAGCCCAAAGGGCCCAAAAAGTATATCGATAGATGGTATTGTGTAACGTTCCTTTTAGGCCCAAAGGACCCAAAAAGTACATAGTCCCAACTATGCTGAATATGTTCCTTTTGGGACCACTTTCCACGAGATCTCATAGGACCTCAAAAAGTTGTCCCTTAGACTTGCTGGGTTATTTAGTTACTTATTTATCTCATTTAAATTTCTGCTTTCCAGTTCAGTGAATCAACCAGGCACACCAGGCACCTTGCACTACCGCTCCATCCAACTCGGGCTCTGCCAGTGCCCGCGCCATGGCCAGCCAGGCCATCCGCTGGAAACCATCCAGTCGCTGCCAACGGCGTTCACGGCCAGCCTTGCTGAACTGAGAAGATATGAGAAAAAATGTTCAAAGTGAGGTTCAAAGTGAGGTTCAAAATGGTTCAAAATGGTTCAAAATGGTTCAAAATCTTCAAAAGTGATCAAAGGCAAATGGGATGGGGAAAGTTCGGAAAGTTGTTTGAAGTCTTGTGAAATCTTGTGGATCAAAATCATGCTGGTGCTTTCTCATGGAAACATCGAGCCGCGAGCCCCACGGCTGGCCTGCGTGCTAGTCTTTGATTTACTCCGCTTTATTCTAAAGAACAAAATGTGTGATAAAACATTTTATATACAAAAATGACAGAGGGGGTTAGGACAAGAGAGAAAATCGGTCAGCTTCAAAGGGTTTGCCCACAAGGCAATCAAATGCCTGCATGTGCCCACGAGACAGAAGGTACATTGATCTGCACTGGGACCAATCAAAGAAAATGTCCTTTGCATGCTCTTTCTACCAAAGAGGACAAAATTGCAAACATGATGTGTTGCCGAACAATCTTCTAAGCAAGTTACCCACGGCGCTACAGAGCCATGGAAAAAGACAGAGTGCTCCCCATCCATACCTCAGATCTGGGTAATGAGTCAAGTTCGTACTTAGGAGTGATGGTCTGTGGAACAGCTTCGACAATCTTGTGTCCTAGGCAGACGGGGCAGGACTGTACATTGTACCTCCCAGCTAGACGAAACACGAGTCTAGCAAGAAAGGTCTAGCTCCAACGCACTGTGTTCCGTCTTTCACGGAGGATAGATGAGGATTCCACAGTCGTGTGAAAATAAGATGACGAGGACCAAGTTTAAGAAAGTTTAAGAAAAACATGGAAAAAAACCTGTGGCATTTGACTGACACTGTTTACTTCTTCTACAACAGCACTTTCCGACAACATGTAGAAACCAAGCTGCAGGTAGAAATTGCATTTCCACCATAACCTGTCCATGCAGTTGGGCGGCAGCTACCGACAGGTGTGGTCATGCTTCATGGTTTGATTGGAACCTGTACCACTCCTCGAAATCGTTTAATACAGGGTCACAAGGTGTCTTACTGTTTGAAGCTTTCAACTTCTGCAAGAAAAAACAACTCTCCAAGTTCAAGACATTGTGAAAATTCTATACCCCACACTGCATACCTGTCAAGAAGTGCAAAACCCAGGCATGTCTTTGTTTTGCTCGTCGCATGGAACTGGCGTCAATTGTTCACTGCAGCGATTAAAGGATGCAGAGACATTCAGCACCGCCAATGTCTTATGATCTATTTCTGGAGCCATTCCTCCAGTCCGCTTTCTGCACATTTCTGCACAAGGGAGTTCCAGGACATGGAGCATGTTCTGTTCGCATTGGCGCTAGTGGACAGCCTGCCCAGGTAAGCCAATTTATGCTAGACTGCTAGACAACCAGACTTTCAAACTATCAAAATGTTGACAATGTAATTAGAGAACCCTGCGGGTGAGATGCTACAAAGGGAATCGGTTGCAGATAGGAGATGCTTCAAGTGTCAGAAACAAGTGCCGCCTAGCTTGAGATCGATGAGACCATGTGTTGATATATCAATAACATTCAATAACTAGCTCTGGGATGCTCTGCGGAGTGGGCCACATCACATCCCGTTTTGATCGACACATGCAATAGCATTCGGATTAGAGTCCATCTACGGGGCCACCAAGCGAAGCATGTCACTGAACAACCTGCGCCCAGCACTGAACTTCAGATAACTTCGGCATACTTTTGACTTCGAGTCAACAGGTCTTTATGATCTTTATATTTTTGATAAAGAATGCTTCGCTGAGTGTCACTCTCGTCTCTCGTTCCCGTCATAGCTGACACCAACCCCTTCTCGTGACTTCGGTGTAAAGTTGACAACATTGCCCCCATCGGGTTCACAGAAATGCGTTGGATAGACATCAGAAGTCTTCATGAAATAGGGTGAAGTATTCTGAATTAGTCTGAATGCCTGGAATTGGGAAGGGTGCAAATTGGTCACGGTCAAGGATCAGCTGCCGACTTCTGGTCCTTACATGGCTTTGCCAAGGGACGCTGAATTGCGATTTCCGTGGAGCAGATGGGGCCGCACACAATTCTGACTCCGGCTTCCGTAGCTTCCGTAGCTCAAGCCAGCTCGCAAAGTGCAAACTGGAATCTGGAATTAGACAATTCAGTTGCATTAATGCCATTCGATGCCAACATGTTTTTTATTCGTTGCGTTCCAGTCGCTGGGGCACTTACTATGGGATCCCATTTTTGGGGACCCACAATCCAGCTGCATCACTAAACTAATCCAGCTAATTCCCATGCATTCAAACTTCAGCGACCGTGTATTCGTTACAGTATTAAAACAATGTGACTCCGTCATGTGCACTGTCAACTCTACTGTCAGCTCTCTGGCTGATTGTACTGCACATCGTTGCAAAAGTTGGCACATTGGAACTTGCGAGATCGCAAAAAGAGTAAATTTTTAATGTCACTAGCTTCTGTCCCGGGAAGACCATTGACACAAGATGACACAAGTATCACAAGTAGTGCAATGCTCCAAACTTCCAGCTCACAATTCCAAGGAAAAGACCAACGCTCCATTTTGCTGCGGATCCAAAATGTTTGATATGAGCCTCCGCGCATACACGTGGCGACAGGCTGATTGGTTCCATTTCTCGTGGCGGTTTTCATCAGCAAGGGAACCACACAACTGGTTCTTCAAGAGATCTCGAGTTGATTTCCGGGTGCGAGCTGGCATCGTGACCTTCTTGTGGACATCATGGCAATAGCGACACGCGTCTCCTTTGGTGCAACAACCTCAAGTCATCAAAGTCATGGCCCCAAGCGGCAGATGGCAGACGAGTCTGAGACGAGTCTACATTTTCCCTAGAAAAATCATGAAAAATCCATCAGTTGAACAGTGCATCCTTGCGCCATGTGACCGTACGGGAAGAACACACATGGAGCACACGTGCCATCTTCATGCTTTCCATATGGGAAAGGCCTTTGAATCTGCTGACGGCTATTTCCATTCTGGCGATACACAGCCTCTCCCACGCCAGATTCGCCTCCCAGGCTGCTACAGTATGCAACCAGCATTCCAAGAAGTGTTTGCAGACTCAACAGGATCAGGCTAAGTTGACACTGGGACCACTAGATTTTGTTGTAATTTGTGTTCATGTCATTTTCGTTCATCAGGTTTCGCAGGGGTCTAGTTGTGTTTCAATTCTTCGTCAAACACAGTCAAATGAATTTGGGCCAAGGCCTGTGCAAGGAGAGCTACTGCACACCATTTTCACAGCATCGTCACTGTCACACTTGAAAGCATCCGTGCCAAATCAAATGCACACAAGTTGGCCCAAGCAAGGCAGACGCCTGCTTGTTAAAAATATTTGCTCTTGAGACGTACTGATGTTTGATAGTGACAGAGACAAACCTTGAAAATTGTTAAAACATGGATACAACATGGTTAAACGTTCTTAAAACGCAATGTCAAAACCCTCTCTAAAGTCGAAATTCAGCGACCTCTTCCACTCACCAACTCGGTCTTGGCGACAGTGACAGTGGGTCGTTTCCACAATCCTGGGTGCTGATTCTTCAAGATGTTTCAAGTGTTTGCACAATCGTTGTTCAAGAAATATCAAGAAATCACATTTGTGCAATCATCTTTGTCATAGCCGCGTTAATACGTGCGTACAATGTGGTGTCCAAATTTTGGGATGTCCCACTGGACTTGACACTTCTGGGCTATTGAAAAACCATCCGTAACCAGGAGTTTCTCTACGAAACTTCAATTGAGTATGTTGAACTGCTTTGACCAGACCATTCCGTCCATTCCATAGATTTCCATAGTGTCTTTGTTGTCCACCAGGGGGATTCCACCTTCGACCAATTTTGGCCAAGTTCTTGTGCGAAGGAAGGCCATTGCCACCTCTTCGCAAGGAGGGCTCTTTGGCTGTCGGCTTTCAGAACCGTTGATTCATTGATCTACAGAGGATCATCATTGTCAATTCATTGTTCGGGTGGAGAGAAGTCGATCTACAGAGGCACTGCCAGATCGAAACTCCCAGACAAATCACGTCAGATCTGCTCTGCATGCAAGCGTCTCAAAGACAACTTCCTGACTCTGGGACATGATGTGCTACGGCAAACACAAGGCGTATACGGCTGAAATACATTAGTATTTCTTGAACCCTGCTAAAACGGAGACAATGATGCATGGCGTTGAATTGCCAGGAGATCCAGGATCACCTCAAGGTTGGGACGAGATCCTAAGTCACATCATGCGTGTGCAGGAGATCTACTCAAGCTCAATTGTGCATCTTGCGCGTGGAACCCGCCGCCTGATACTCGTCCGGCCACTGTGCGCTTGGTGACAAATGGATGTTGTAAAGCTTCTGAAGGCAAAGACCTCAACCGAATCAGGGAGGGATGACTGGATGAACATAGACCATGGAGATGAATTCCATTGAATTCCATTGAATTTCGAGACCGTCTCCCTGGGAGCAGCTTGACACAAATTCATCTGACATGATTTGATGGGGTTTGTCCAGTTTGTCCGTCAACAGAAATAGTTGAAAACTGCAGAAAATCGGGCCACCTCAACAGCGACGTCTGACTTCAGCAAAGATCAAACAGCCGAATTGTCCAGAAACGATCCCATGAATCATCATAAATCATCATAAATCCATCTACAAAGTCAAATCTACTGGAAGAGTTTGAACACTTCGTTACGGAGTTCGTTCAACGGAGTCCCCGCTGGAGATCCCTGGAGCGCGCCTTTGGATCGGTGGCACCCGGAGAAGTTTCTCCACCAGGTCCCGGGCGTCCGCGTGCAGCTGGTGCCACCTGACGTGAATCGCCATGATTCGCCACGTGTAACACATGTGTGCGCTATGAATAAAGCATGTGTTACACACAATTATACAATGTTATACATTTAAATCCGCCCACACCGCTTTGGCGGTGAAGGCGTGCTTATTGGGGGGCAAAACAGCAACACTAAATGCTCAATGACATTTGTTAATATAGCAGTCGCTATATCAGCTTTAGCTGGGGGGGGGGCCAAAAACGGTTTCGCACCGAGACCAGAATACGGTGGTGTTTTCGACATTTTTCGAGGATTTTTGGGTGTCTGAGCGCAAGAGGGTATTGAAATGGAATTTTGGGTCATTTTGGTAGCTTTCCGGCAATGGAAAAACGGCCAAAAATGAAAAAAAACATTGTACATAGCAAGAATTTGCAGGGTTTTTGGATGCCAGAGCATTGAAAACACTGCAAAAACAAGTGTTTTGGACTGACGTTATAGCAAAAAACGTGTAAATTACCGTATGCTTGACTGGAAACATTACAAAAACACTGTCAAAAGCAATGTTTTGGAAGGATTTACTGCCTTTATGGCAAAAAACGTGTAAATTACCGTCTGTTTGACTGGAAACATTGGAAAAACACTGTCAAAAACAATGTTTTGGAAGGATTTCTTATATATATGTTGGAGTTGGCTACCGGCATTGGAACATGGAAAAATTGAAGAAAACACTGTAAATAGCGGTATTTTCAACGGTTGGGGAGATAAGGGAATTGGAAGCATTGTCGAACATGATGTTTTCGACCGGTTTTATGGCGACAAAAGTGTAAAGTACCGTGCTTTGAAGGAAACCATTGCAAAAACATGGAAACACATTCAAAGAACACGGGATTTGGGGGACTATCTAGGCGTCGTTGTCTAGCTATTTGAAATTCCGCAGCTTGGAGAGCCTCCAAGGGAGGGAAAAGTGAAAATTCCATAGCTTGGGAAGCTGTCACGGCGGGGAAAAGTGAAAATTCCCTAGCTTGGGAAGCCCCCACGGGGAGGAAAAGTGAAAATTCCCTAGCTTGGGGAGCCCCCACGGGGGGGAAAAGTGAAAATTCCCTAGCTTGGGGAGCCCCCACGGGGGGGAAAAGTGAAAATTCCCTAGCTTGGGGAGCCCCCACGGGGGGGAAAAGTGAAAATTCCCTAGCTTGGGGAGCCCCCACGGGGGGGAAAAGTGAAAATTCCCTAGCTTGGGGAGCCCCCACGGGGGGGGAAAGTTAAAATTCTTAGCTTGGGGAGCCCCCACGGGGGAAAACCACCCTTAGCCCCTCTCACGGACCTAAATAAACCTGCGGTGTGGGCGGCCACCCCACGCGAAGCGGGGTGAATACATACCTTAACCGTCCTTAACCTATCAAAACCTGGAGAAAACAAAACAAGGTCTCTCCGAAGAAAAAAAACGGTTATTCATGCTTGACATACCAAAAACGCGGGTTTGAAACCCCGGGTTTCCGTGAAATATCATATGAAATCCATGCCCAACTCCACCGCAACCATGCTTTTCCGCACAAAATATTGCGTGAATGGACACAGATCAGAAAAACAAAAAAAGGTCTGGTTCTGCAACAAGAAATGCCTTTAGTGTCCCCAACTCATCCCGGCCCGGTCCCCCCATCTGCCGAAGAGGATTTGAATGGCTTTGGTTGCTACACTACATTTTCGGGGATCGGGCCATTTTTTAACCTGGCCATACCTGGCCTAAGAAATCTGCACTGCTTGAATGCTTGATAGTTGTTGCTGCTTTCTAATCGGGTTTTCCCGAAAATATAGGGGTTCGATCCAAATCACATATTTTACCAAGAACATTTCTTCCCATAGAAACCATAAAACTTCAAAGTAGCTTCAGCCCTAACATTTTGCAATTTCAGCTTTCTATAGCATGCGACGGGATTCAAACCCGGGGGATGGAAAACAATGCAGGACTTCTCAAATGCGTACCAGCCATTGCTTTTGAGAGCCAGCTGCGACTCACTCAACTATAGAAGCACGCAAACCACGTACGTAGGCTACCTACCTACCTACAAGTATGCACATACGTATATATATATACTTACATGCGTCATATATACATGCATACATAATCAATCATATATAGATACATGCCATTTCATTCCATTCCGTTCCATTCCATTCCATCCCATCATACATACATATATACCAAAGATTACCAAAGTAGTTTCAGCGCCAAACTAACCAAACAAAAACATTAGGATGTAAGCAGCAGGATTCGAACCCGCCGGGGGGGGGTAAGTTCGAAGTGATATTATAGATCACTGTCTGCATCCAGTCTGCCCCCAATGCATGTTGCTAAAGCAAAGCTAACTCCCGGTAGCACGCTGACTTTCGTGACGAAACAATGGACTGTAAATCGCAATAAAAGCATGTATTATTGCCTCATGCTTGGTAGAAAAGAAACTATCTCAAAGTGTTCCGTATTTGAAAAGATCATGCCAAAAGCAAGAAGTGGGGCATTGAACTACCGGCAGCTGCTTTTGCACCTCTCCGTGCGGCAGTTGTACTTCCCAAGCGCCACTAATCGCAAGACTTCCTCCGCCACGGTGGTCCGAACTTTGCAAAACTCCGGCCTAGGGCTCACTGCTTAAAGTTCCTGCTGAAAAACCACCAAATCCAACCAATCTGGGAAGAACAAAGCCAAATAGATATCAAATGGACTTGTGGTTGAATCCCATCCAGTTTTGAAAATGTGCGTCTGGACGCCGTGTAAACGCCTTTGCCTTGGAAATGATCAATGATCAAACTAAAACAACTAGAACTAGAACCCGTTTGACAGCTTCAAAGGCCAGATGTACGGAAAGCATGCCGACATTCTTTCAAAGCAATGTCTAGGAGGGCATGTAAGTCGAGTGAGATTTTCGTGAATTGGTATACTGGCAATACCCGTCTGCAGCGTTGTTGCAGCATTAAATAATTCAAACCAAAGAAAAGTCCTGAAATTGATTGATGCTGATTCCAAAACTATGTCTAGCGCAGACTTGAAAGTTGTGCCCCTGGCGCCCATTTGGGGTTCCTATGGGTTCCTCATTTCTGCCCGTGTCCTGGTCTTGAGCTTCCTGGGTCGATTGCTTCAGAGCTTGGTTGAAAGGGTTGTGGCCCACGAGCAAAAGGTACAGGACCTGAAAGCACAGAAATTGTCGCAACATGCCGTGTGGCCATCATACCAATCATACCAATCAAACATAATCAAACCATCATACCATTCAGAAATTGTAGAAAATACGTGGAACATATGTGGAAAATGACCAGCAGCATCCAACGTCAAACAGCTCTCACTGAATCGAGCGTCAGACTTTATAGGCCCACAGGGACCACGGGGCCCAAGCTGTTTGGTTCTGGGCCTCCGAACCACACCAGCACTCCACATATCGCACAAGCCCTTGATGGGTTCACCATGTTGATCCACAGCCATGGGCTCGGGCTCCACTCCCTGCCATTTGTACCCTACAATGTAGCAGTGGGGAACAAGCCATGGATTGGTGCCTTGGCAGATTTTTGAACATCCTGAATTTCTACACATTTCATACCTGTTGAATGGAGGCTGTTCATCCATTAGGAAACAATCTCTGGATATATCGCGAAAAGCATGTAACGCATCTTGTTGTGATGGAAACCACGATGCCATGCCTATGCGGTCTGGGTGGGCTTAACATGTAAGACCTAGGTCACACCGACCATCCATGCACATGTATCATGTTAAGAATATGTAGTATCAGATATTCATGTCCGCTGGTTTTTTACATCAACATTGAAAATGGTAATACTACATTGATCTAAATCGTTACATTACACATGTCTCGTGTCTCTGTATGACAAGGTGGTAGTGCATCTAACGATAGACAGGAGGAAAGCGGTCGGTAGCTGAAGCCGCAAACAGCATGTTCTCCCTGGATTCTCCCGTCCTCCACAGGAGGATTCAGTTCAGGAGGCGCATACCACAAAGAGCCGGCACCTGTAGAGGCTGCCCGATGGCTGAAGCCAAGATCCTACTAAGATGGCAAATTAACGTACCTGCTGGCGTGAGAAGCTTCATTGAGAATCATGAGGAACCATGTGTTTCTGGATAATTGAGATGGTATGGTGTAAAGTGTACGCTGCAAGCCTTATGTTTGCCCACAACTGATTCCGCATATCCTCTGACATGCTCAAATCCCTGCGTGAGGCTAGCGTTTTTTGCTTTCCAAAACAACAACCCTTAAACCCTAACACCCTAAAACACCAAATCCTGAAAACCGAAAGTCGAAACCGCTGCGTACCGCCAGGGTTTATCCTCTGGTGACAAGCATATAATATTGTTTGGCGGTGTTATTTGGAGGTCGGCGAACCTAGAGTTTGAAGCGAAAGTGTAAAGGCCGTTGCTCTGTGCTGCTTTGTCTGGCTCTCTTCGAAGGTAAGATTGTCTCGGTCCCAGTATGTCCCAGTCAGTGGGTTGGACCCCAAAGCAGAAGCTACCACATAGGCCATATGTCATATGCCATGTAGGCACTGTGCTTTCAAGAAACTAGGGTTTGTTCGAAGGGGAAACCTCGTTCCACTGATAACCCGCCAGTTTGGTTTCAGCCATACCCAACCAAAAAAGTGTTTTCATGCACTGTCCCGGACACATATAGGGTTTGGCTGATTTGGGGAGATGCCCAAACAGTGAACCACATATGTTGACGAACATCGTTAAACTGTTCAACAGCTCAAGAAGCTTTGGCTCAATTTCAAGCCCAGGTTGTTGCACCACCAGGCTGCCCGGCCAGTAGGTGGTGGTTTGCTGACTTTCCCTTCGGGTGCAGCTATGGCTGCCCAGCCGAAATCCCCCAGTTTCAGCTCTGCACGGAAGGCCGACACCTTCATCATGGCAACCAGAAATATCAAAGAAATCATCCCTATGTGGATCAAGTCGATCAAGTGAACGTGTAGAAACAACTAAACAACACTGTCTGCAAATGTTGCTTCAGGAGACCCAAAGTCTTCCAGGGTTCCACACGGAGTGATATAGATTTCTGCCAAGGCACAGCCACACCAAAGAGCATCATATTTTCTGGTTTCACCTTGGAACAAAGCATGTCTCCAGCACTGCTCAGCAAGCCACTCCAAAGGTCTCACGAGTCTCACATTACTGTAGAACTTCCAGAATATACTGACCTGCAAACAGACTAGACAAACATCCATAAACATGCGCAGACTGGCAATATTATCAAATGTGGTCAATATGCCTCCCAAGATTCTCAAGTCTGAATATTTTGGTCCCCGCACATCCTGATGTTCAACGCCACAGCTGCTCAAGTGCTGCAGGGCCAAGAAGAGTTGACGCAGAAGCCGTGCCACCAAACGTTCAGGAAGCCCACCCTGAACGCCATGCTGCATATTGATGACCTATCTGAACCATCCACCACACACTCTTGTGACTCTTGTGTAAATATTCATTATATATATATATATATATGTATCACATATTCATATTATACATGAATACATGTATGTGTATGTGTATATATATATGTGATATATGTGATATATGTGATTGATGTATGTATGTATGTATATGTATATGTATGTATATGTATGTATATGTATGTATAT